GAGGAAGAGGGCGGCGCTGGTGCTGGCGGAGAGAAGAGGAGGCGCGGGTGGTGGTTGACGGAGAATTGAGGGTGGTGTTGGTGGGAGAAAAGCAAAAGGCAGAGAGAAGATAGTGGGGAGCGGCGTGAGGACTGGGGTGAGAATGAGAGAGTAACTTCAATTAGGGTTAGAATTTACATTTTAATTGTTTAGAAAATAAAGTAATAAATAATAATATATTTGTCCACTTTACTTGTTACTGTGTGTGAATATATATATTATAATAATAATCGGAAATATTTGGAAATATTCGGAAATAATGGAAATAATTGGAAATAATTTCGGATCGGAATTCGGAAATTCCGAAATTCTGTTATGTATTTCCGATTCCGATCCGATTTTTTTCGGAAATTTCGGAATTCGGAATTTCGGAATTCGGAATTGAAAAAATCCTTCCAAAATCGGAATTTTTCGGATCGGATTCGGCGGAAATCGGAAATCGGAAATTTTGTTCCGATTTCCACCCCTAGCTGTGGTGTACCGAATGTGCAAATTATATATTTCTTAAATACATATACATATACTAGCTTAGTGGATATTCTAGTGAATTTAACTTGAATTATAAATAAACAATATTCCCAAAGGAAAAAGCATTTTCTTAGAAACATAGTTTCAATTAAAACGATGTTCTAACACCACTAATATTGTAGAAGTATACTTATTTTCCATTGATTCTTCTGGATGACAAACTATTATAAGATCCTCATGTAATTTAATTTATATGTTATTACTATAGATCTATGTAGTACGAACACGGGAATGTGCACACGGTGAAATAGGAAATTGGACATGGGGAAACCCTATTTTTAAAAAATGTTGTATACGGAAACATGAGAAAACATGTAAATATTAAAAATATAAGGATAAATTCATAATTTAAAAAAATATTATAACATTAGGTTTTATTCTCAACCTCAATTACATATTTATATCTCAAATTATATATAATTTATAAGTGCAAATCTGAATTATCATTCCACAAAATTACATATGGTTCATATAAAGTTATTTTAGTATGAAATAAGCATCTAAGAAAATTTAAAATGGCACTAGAATTGAAAAGGAGGCATAAGATTTCAGATTTTTTAAGTGTAAGTAATTCCAAGTCTTTATTTGAAATGAGTTTTGGATTTTTTGGTTGGAAATGCGTTACTATTTTTTTAGAGTCGTTATTTCCACTTTCAAAATATCTTATTTCAACACCAAATTAAATATATTCGATTTACCCATTTTTTTCTCTTTTACCAATATTATGCATAAATTCATAAATTGTGCACCACCAAACTAATTAGAATATTCGCAAAAAAAAAGTACCATTTTCCACTAAAATCTTTACTACATAATCTCACCCTCTCCACCTTAAGTGAACATACCTTCGTCAGAAAAAAACACTGAAATGTTAGCAGGAATTCACGTTCACGAAGAAATAAATTAAGAGCATTTGTCTCGAGAAAAAAAAAAAAAAAGAAAAAAAAAACTAGATATTTTTAATATTGTTGTTTTCCGTGGATTACAATTTGAAAAAATAGCTTACTTTTCATTCAGCACAATCAGCCCACAAACTGATTGATTCAAATTAGGTGATTATTCGAATGTTGTTTTACCCTTTTAGGTTTCATTGCAAAAAAAATAAAATAATAGTAACATAGAACAGTGGAGGATTAAGCGAATATAAGGGAGGCTAAAATTGGGCATTTATGATATTTTATATATAATTGGTGGTAAATTAAGATAATTTGGAGGTGAAATTGCACCATTTTTTTCAATTACTATAAACATCACCGAAACTTTAAATATTGACGGAAATTGCCACAAGATGTTTCCAAGATGTGTCACAACATTTCCTTTTACAAAATGTGAAAACATGTATGTACAGAAGTTACGTGCATCATAGTTATAGATTTGAAAAATAAAATTCTGAATTTTTTTTTCCGGCAAAACAATCGTCGATTTCTGTGGTTTCCTTTTTTTAGAACATTTTTTTAAATTTTTTATAATAATATTAATGTGTCAATATTAATAATATTCTCAGACAGTAATATTACTATCTCAAGCAGTAACTGAGACAATAATATTACTATCTCAATGCAATATTACTGTCTCGTCTAGTAATTATACTGTCTAACACATTAAAAGTATTGTGTTAACTGTTAAAAATAAAATGTCAACGCCGACTACTGGCCCGACAAAAAAAAAAGTTTAGAAAAAAAAATATTTTTTAAGAAAATTATGAGAAGGGGTGAATGTGATATGTTTGTTCAATCTGGGAGGCAATATTGGTGAGTTAGAGTTTAATGGATAAAAGTGATTTAAATTATAGATGAATTTGAGGTAGGTCTATGGAATGAAGTTTTACTACATTAATCAGCCACATTCTTTTAAGTTACATGTAGTTATTTTAAGTACAATAAACATATTGAATTTACGAAAAAAAATTAAAAAAAAAATTAAAAAAGAAATTAAATACAAAATTAATAAAAGAAATTAAATAAAAATTTATTAAAAAATTTAATAGGAAATATATAAATCAAACAAGCAGGTTTTAAGATCTTCAACGCTTCAGACATTCTCGGTCGTAGATCTGGGCTCGATTTAGTCAACGCCGGAATCCGGCGGCAAAAGAAGTTTTTTTGAAAAAAAAAAGTTTTTTGAAAAAAAAAAAAGTTTTTAAAAAAAAAGTAAAAATTGGATTTTTGTGGTCAAAATTGGATTTTTGTGTACAAAATTGATTAAATTGGGGTTACAATTAAGAATTGGGTATAAATGGTTGGGGGTAATATTGTCATATACATGAATGTTTCCTTTATTTATGAGATTTTTGTAAGAAGGTGAGTGACCAATAACCTTTATTAATCCAATCTATTAAAATTAACTGAATAAGCCTCTCATGAGCTACTTATTAATAAAGGGATCTAGATAACAAATCTTAAAAAAAGTAAAATCCAAACAATGTCCAGAGGTCTGTAAATGACTAAAATACCTCATCACATTTTAATATGCTCCAATTTCATCGTTTAATTCAATTTAACAGCAATTTGACCCCAAATTTTACCAATTATTCAATTTTTTGTCTCTAACCCAATTTTTACTACAGTTTCGCCCTTCGCCGTTGGGCAACTAGCGTTAACTTTTTCTGTTTTTTTCTTTTTTTTTGGTCTTTTTTTTTTCCGACGATCAAGTTTTTCCCTGGTGTTAATTCTTTTGATTTTTTTTCCTGCCGCCGCTAAACGGCACCGGCGACGTTGAATATTATTATTATTTTTTTTTTTGCATTATTTTTTCTTAAACGTTTTGGACCCGTTTAAACAATAATATTGTTGTGGTTGACATGCATATTAAGCATATTACTGCTTAACACAATAATATTGCTATATTACTCTCTAGCAGAGTGATATTAACACACCAAATCATATTTTTGAGTAATAGAGTAATATTAATATATTGACCGTTCAACGAAGGCAAACATGATAAAAAATCAAAAGAATTAATATTGATGTGGTTGACAATAATATTACTGTGACGACGTAATATTACCGTCAACCACAATAATATTATTGTGTTTGGAGTAATATTACTATAGTAGACATCAATATTAAGGTTGGACCCGTAATCGACTATTTTCAGTAGTAGATTAAGGTTAATCGTACGTTTATTGATTCATTTTTGGATTTTTGAATATTGATTCCTTATTTTTGTCACGTGTAATTGGACTTATGGCATACCGGTGGTGCGTTTTTATTCTTTCATTGTCAATACATCATCTGATTTGTATAAATCAATACAATTTTTGTATATTTGTTGTTTTGTAAATAAATAGTTGGTTTTGATTTTATTTTTTTGGGTAAATTACAAACACCCCCTGAGGTATGACCAAATTACAAAAACACCCCTCTTGTTTGGATAATTACAACCACCCTCTCAACACATCAAATTGTTTGGCTATTGTTTGGATTCTTATGTTGGATCATGCTGGATTTCGTTGACGACATTATGATGGTTTGTTAGTTTTAGTAGTCAATTTCATTATTCAACCATAAATATAGCAGTCAGTTCGTTAATTAGACTAATATACCTAACAGAGAAAAGAAGGATTAAAAAAACATAATTTTCAATAAATATATAAAATAATAAGAATAAATTAAAAAGGAAATTAATTAAAAACAAACAAAAACAAAAAATGGGGATAGATGAAGGGGGAAGAAGATAGTGGAAAGGAAATTTTGAGATTATAAAGGAAGGGAAAAGGGCATGAGTTTATATCAATTAGTAAAATATGGATCGAATTCAAACTCCTTATTAATGAAAGGATTAAGGGTTTTATCAAATAGCACTTGATCCTAAAGGGTGTAATTAATTAGGGGATAATCAGGAACTATTTTAATAAAGAATTGATATCAATAATTATATATTTTTAATAAATATTTTAATTATATTTTGAAAAATTAAACTTGTAACTATTTCTTAAAAATGTTATTTCCTCTTTATAAAAGTTATGATAGTATATGTAGATACTTGTAAAATCGTTAATTCATGGTCGGCTAGATTTTAATTGTAATTAAATATTGAAATCACGGAAATACAAAACATGATAAATTAATATTTTCCATAATAGAAAATCCTATGAATTGAGTATTCTTAAATAATTAAATTACATAATTTATAATTTAGGAATAACTTGTTTTGGCCGTTGATTCCTTCCAAGATCTTCAAGGTTTCAGACATTTTCGGCCGTAGATCTGGGCTCGAATCACCAACTCAGCAACTTTCTCTAATTACCTTTTCTTAATCTCGTTCTTTGTATGGCAAGTATTTTATAATTTAATTCCAACTCTGTTTCTTAAATTTTTTTCCTAATATAAATCTCTCGGCCATCTATAAATATATACACATACACCTGTTCTTCAAACCTTAAATTCAGAAAACCTTAAACACGAATCTCGTCTCCTCCCTCAACTCTCAAGATGCCGAATTTATTGTTGTTTCCTTTCGAAAATACTATACTAAATGTAACAATTTGGATTTCGTCCGTCTGCAGAATCCACACGCATGTACGATCAGCAAAAATCATCGCGGGACTCGATACGGAGTGGCTGCCCAATCTGGGGCCGCAAGAAGACCATCCAATCGCTGTACTTCAGCTATGCGTCGGCCACGATTGCCTCGTTTTCCAGATTCTTCGGTCCGATTTCATCCCTAAATCGCTACAAGTCTTCCTAGCGGATCCTCGTCACACTTTTTGCGGAGTGGGGATAAAAGATGACGTGGACAAACTATACGATCATCATGGGTTGCGAGTGGGAAGAATTGCCGATCTTAATGATCTTGCTAGAATGTCGAAGAAGATGACAGACGGTCAAGATCGAAACTACAGATATATGGGACTCAAGAAGATGGCGTTGGCTCTACTTGGGAAGAAGATGGAGAAGCCGTTGAATGTGACTTTGAGTAAGTGGGACGCTGAAGAACTCGACTCCGCTCAAATTCAATATGCAGCCATTGATGCCGCTGTCTCGTTCGAACTTGGTTTCATGCTATGTGTTCGGGTTTTCCATCCAAACGGGATCGTACGCCTACCGCCACCGCTACCGCCACCGCCACCGCCACCGCCACTGTATAATGGGATTGTACGCCTACCGCCACCGCCACCGCCACTGTATTCAAATTAGCTTCTTATATATGTAATATGTTATGGGTATTAATCTTTATGAAATTTGTTTCTTGACGAAAGAAATTATTCAGCTGCTTGTATTCAAATTTTCGGTGTTTTGTAGTTGTAGACTTGTAGTTAGGCAAGAAAACTAATATTAGGGTAACAAACTTGGGACTTAAAATAATTAGTTTCACTAATCAAAGTAAAGTTCGAATCCATATTTCCTAAAATAATATTGTCTCGATTATTCATATATTTTGGATCTTCTAAAATAATATCTCAGGATGGCCAAAGTGATCAAGACACAAAGCTATTGACATTATTCAAATTGTATAATAATAAATAAAAAATAAAAGAATATTTGTGGATGGACACATAACCTAATAAAATATATTAAGAATCTATATAATTCAAAGAATGTAAGTAAACAAAAAACAGGGACGGAAAGTGTAATTTTCTCATTTTTTAAACAATGCAGTACTAAAAAACCAAACATGCAATGAGATTTTGGTATTTGTCATAGAACCCCTAAGAATGTAAAATATACAATTAGATTCTTACATTCTTTGAATTATATAGATTCTTAATATGCCTCACATGACTTCTCCAAATCAGGGTCTTACAAATTTTCCCTAGAATCAATAACCATCTTCTCAATTCTTCTGATACGACGAAGTATTGTTCTACTCATTTTCAATTTATCATTCGATTTACTCTTCCTCTCTCACTCTCTCTCCCTATATACACATGATTTGTTGGAGGGAGGAATCAAAATTCCAACTCTTGCAAAAAATAAAAAATTCACAACACGTTTAGGAGAAGATTTTTTTACTTTTTTCCCTCTTAGTTATTTGGCAAAAAAAAGGGGACTTAGTGCACATTGGTCAACACAAAAAACAGTCTTCCAAATAAATTCATCCCCATGTCTTTAGCCTAAAATACCCTCCATAATATATTTTTTATCAATTTCATCATTATACTCCAACTTCCTCAATATTACGCATTGACCCCGGATTTAAACAAATATATCACATTAACCTCCATTTTAATAATTTTTTGAAAAAACAGTTAATTTTTTTCTGATTTTTTTTTCGGCCAGATTACGGTGTTGACTTTTGTTTTTGAAAACTTTTTTTTTCTGAATTTTTTTTTTCGGCGGTCTCCGGCGTTGGTTTTTTTTATGAATTTGTTTTCTTAAAACAATGTATTTTCATTAATATTACTGTTTTGGCTGCTAAATTACTATCTCATACAGTAATATTATGAATATTAATTTCCCAAACAGTAATATTACTAATATTGCTGTCTCAGCCAGTAATATTATTGCATGAGACAGTAATATTACGGTTGGAGACAATACTATTACGGTCGAAGATAGCAAAATTGCAGGCCTAGACGATAAAATTAATTAATACAATAAAATTACTGTCTCAGAAAGTTAAGCTACTGTTTCCGCTGTTAATTACTGTTAGAGACACTAATTTAGCAGGCAAGACACTAATACTAATTAAAAATAATTAAGAAAAAATAAAATTTCAAAATAAAATAAAATCAATCAACAGTTAAATTACTGTTAGAGACAGTAATTTAGCAGCGAAGACAGTAGTAATATTAATTAAATAATTTTTTTAAGCAAAAACAAAATTGAAAAAAAAGTCAATTTACAGTTAAATTGCAGTTGGAGACAGTAATATAGCAGCCAAGACAGTAATATTTAAAAAAGAAAAGAAGAAGAAAAAGTCAATAAACAGTTAAATTATTGTAAGTAATTTAGCAACCAAGACAGTAATATTAACTAAAATATTTTTTTTAAGAAGAAGAAAAAGAAAAAAAAAAAAAAAAAAGTCAACGCCGGAGACCCGGCATTCAACGGCGGGTGACCTGCCACAAAAATAAAACGTTTTCAAAAAACAAAAAAAAAAAATCAATGCCGGAAACCGGCGGTCAACGACGGCTGACCGCCGGTCTCCGGTGGCAGCGGGTCAAAATTGGGGCCGAAATTAGAATTAGGGTCAAAATTGGTTAATTGGTGAAATTGAGCTAAATTGGGGTGTAAATCATGAAATTGAAGTCGAGTTTCAAGGAATTTGGGGTAATTTTGGTATATATAAAAGTGTTTTCCTTATTTGCAAATAAGTTTGAATGAGCTGGAAATATTAGAAAGACAAAAAAGTTATATGTCAATTTTTTAATTAAGTGCACTTGTCATGGGCCTCTTTGACATTAACCCTATTTTTTTAATTATTGATTAAGAATTGTTCCAAATGAGCCCACACTTATTTAAGAGTTATTAATGCGGGATGCACAATAGAAGATTGGAAGTTTTGAGCGCAAATGTGAATTCTCAAATTTTCTACAGCAGCTCGTGTTTTTGACCCACAACTTCACCTATCATCAGATCATCATGATTTTTTTACTAGAGATGTCGAACACGTAGGACTTCAACCCAAAGCAAACGATCATCGATCCGACTTTCCAAAATAAAGTTATGAACTTTTGAAGCCCGCTGAATTTTTGGCAGCAACAAATTTGGAACAGTTCCGTTCGTGATTCTGCATGACGCCATTCATGCATCACGCCGTTGCAAAATTGAGACGGGGTTTGAGGATCGTATTTGAATCATGTTGTAAGTTCTAGATATTATTCTGCAATTAATCCAGAAGTTATCATGCATGAGTGCATGCTAGAAAACTTTTAAGATGTAAAAACGAATCTCATTCGAATTTATCAATGACACGCTCTTGGGGATTCAATTTTCCAGCAGGAAGACATGTTCTAAGATTTAGTGTAGGCGCTACCACATGCAGTCTCTTCCTTAATGATGTTTGATCACATATTGATAGTTCGAATTTCTTTAGGTGTGTATGGGTGCTTGTTGAGTGTACATTTTACACTCAATATAATTTCTTACGAGGATTTTTGTGAACTTTATCGATTTTATGGTACTTAATTATTGGTTTGTTGTATTTTGAGTATAATTCGAAGATTAGGGAGTTTCAAGGATGAAACAAGCAAAAAGGGGTCAAAAGCGGAATAAAACAGAATAAAACAATAGGAAGCTGAAAAATTACCTGGCACGACCGTGTGAGAAATAGGCCATATTTGGCACGGCCGTGCCAACTATATATGAAAATTGGACAGTAACTTCAAAATCTGGGACGGTCGTGTGAGATTTGTACTGATTCTCACACGGGCATTTGAAAACACGTTGAAGACAACTTTTGGGGTTTTTAACCACACAAGAAAACCCAAATTTTATTACCGAGACAAGTATCTATTTAAAGGCAAAGACAAGCACGAATTACAACACTTTTAATTTGCACCATCTTAAAGCAAGAGGAGCGAGAGAACGGAGAATCGAAGACGAAGACTTAATGAATCTTCATCATAGTTCTTCTTTTATTGTTTTCTACTTTTATGTATTTTCGTATTTTTATGATGTTTTTCGTAGAGAACATGAGTAGCTAAGTTTTTTAATCTAGGATTTTATTACAACCATATATGGTAATTTGAACCTATTTTTCTAATATTATGCAAGTTTAAATTCCATGATTATTTCTTCTATCTGGTCTTATTTAGTGCATGAATCTAGCTAATTTATGTTGTTATGTGTTATTGTTAGAATTGAATCGAGAGATCGTTTTAATAATTACAACAAGGATAGAAGAGCCTTCGAGTAGTTTGCACCGGATTAGTGTGTTAATTGCATGTGTTATCGTAAATATACAGATATCACCTTAGGTAGCCGTTTACGAGACTTGTTAGTTAATGTTTTATTCATAATTGGTTTGCATAGACATATAGTGAACTATTTATGAATAATAGGCTTATAATACACGTGACAGCGGGTTATAAGTAATTTAGTGTCTCGAGTTAATAATCAGGAATCGTAACTTGCATGATAGAGGTTTAATTGTGTGATGAATTATCGCATAGAGGGGAGATAAAACCATAGGTCCGTTTTTATTGATATTTTTCATGTGATTATTTGCTTTCATAATTACTTTAATTTTTTGTTGATTAAATTTGACAATCTTGCGTAGGCTGGATAAAAATAATAATTGTTAGAATTTAGTACTTAGTACTTAGCATTAGGTAATTTGAGTATTCTCTGTAGGATGGACATCCGACTCTTACGAACCCATTATTACAACTTATTTGCGATACGTGCACTTGCGTGTAGGTATTTAGCCCAACAGTGCTTGAGCTATAAAGTCCCGTTATGAAAACCCCATACAAATTCGGTATAAAGTGCTTTTCTAGCGAAATTTTTGCATAAATAAGTTGAAAAGAAAAACAAAATAAGTCGATCCATCTATAATTTAAGGGTGTAAATTTGGGCCGGACGCCCCATTTTTTTGAGAAAAACGGATGCCATACACCTAGTGACACGTGGAAATTTAACTAATTTTAAGCAAATAGATAATTTCTCTCTCCTAAACGTGGCAGTATAAAGAACCAAATTATGAGTATTACTTATAGGGGTCCTTGGACCCTACACTCGGTGATAAACACCGAGTAGGTCTTCTGCTGCCACGTGTCCATTTTTTGTATTTTTCTAAAACCCCTAAAGGTAAACCCTAGTGGGGAATATATTATAAAATAATACATAAATAATAAGTAATAACCGGTATTTATCACCGGGTGTAGGGTTGAACAAATCTACTTATAGTTTTCTGACTTTCTCTATGTTATTTGTTTACATTATTTCTTTGCATATTTTTTTTTCTTTTCCTTTTTTTTTTCTTCAAATAAAATTAAAATTTCCCTTATAATACATTGACTTAAATGTACATGTGATTTAGCAAATAATATTATATTTTGTAGTCAATGAATTCTTTAACTTATTTGGAAAAATAAAATAAAATGTTTTTTTTTTTGAATCATAAGTAATTTCATATTAAGTACATAAATAATATATAATAAATTTTATATGCATTTATTTTGGGTCTTGAGAATCAATTCCCAGCACATGTAAGATTGAATTAAGATGTGTTGTAAAAGGAATTTTTTTAT